CAAATTCAATGTCTTGCTTCTCTCTGATTTTGGTATATGGTATCTTTTGCAGTTTTGGTCATGCATTACACTTATTTATCCTACACAGCACTCATATTAGGTAATTAGTACCTTTCTCTTCTGGAGCTATTGTTTTTCATTTATCCACATTGCACCGCCTTGAATCATGAAGCATGAAAAATTCAAGTACATTTGATGAGATTATAAGAAAAAAAATTAAAAACTCCAGGAGAAGCAGGCAATATTTATCGGATACTTTATTTCATAACCAATTATATCAATAAATATCTTTTTATACTCACAGGTGTACTTCATTGGGTAGCATCTGCTCCTGCAATGCCAACCTTCATCCTGTTTCTGTTACATAAATGGCAGAGAAGGCATTTATCTGTGTATGATTCTATTGAAGAATTCTTGCAAGGTAACAATAACCTTATGTCAGTAAGGTATTCTTACTCAGATATCAAGAAGATGACAAATGGCTCTAAGGAAAAACTAGGGGGAAGTAGGTTTCGGCAAGGTTTATAAAGCAAGGCTTAAGAGTGCTGGTCTTGCTGCAGTCAAGTTATTAGGCAAATCCAAAGTCACAAACCAAGATCATTTCAGTGAAGTAGCAACAATTAGGAGATTTCACCATGTCAATGTGGTAAAACTTATTGGCTTTTGTGCAAAGGGTTCAAACCATGCTCGTGTATGGCTTCATGCCTAATAGTTCTCTTGATAAATACATTTTTACTAGGGAAGAAAGTACAACCTTGGGTTGGGAAAGACTATACAAGATTTCTCTAGGAGTGGCTCATGGGATTGATTATTTACAGCAAGGCTGTGATATGCGAATCTAACGTTTTGACATCAAATCTTACAACATTCTTTTAGACAATAACTTCATCCCAAAAATATCTGATTTTGGTCTTGCAAAATTATATTCAACAAAAGATAGCATCATATCCTTAACTGCAGGAAGAGGAACACTAGGATACATGGTGCCTAAGTTGGTCTAGAGAAAAATTGGAGGTGTCTCACACAAGGCTGATGTCTATAGCTTTGGAATGTTGTTGATGGAAACAACTAGCAGGAGAAGGAATTTAAACCCACATGTAGAGCATTCAAGTCAAATTTACTTTCCTACGTGGGTTTCTCAACAATGGAATAAAGGAGTGGAGCTGGGAATAAGAGGAGCCACGGAAGATGAAAAGAGAATAGCTAAGAAAATGATCATTGTGGCTTGGTGGTGTATATAGGTGAAACCGAGTGACCATGCTTTGATGAACAAAGTGGTGGAGATGCTTGAAGCAGATCTTGAAAGTTTAGAAATGCCTCCTAGGCCCTTCTAAATATATCCATATGCAACTGAAGAAGATGATGCTAAAATGAAAACCAACTCCACAAACCTTTCTAGTTACTAGTCCCTATGATGATATAGAGATAGAATCAGAATCAGTCAGTTTAATTGAAAATGGAAATTAAGCAAAAAGGTTGCAGAAAAGCCTAATTAAGTAGAGTTTTCTTTATTCATGAGTTCCACAACAACAGCGGGTATCCATCCCCTTTTGCTACCCACTTCTCACCCCACCTAGATGTCACAATGGCTCTAAATTTGCATCACGTTTTTTGGTGTTCAATTCTCAAGAAATGGTTAATTGTCTTTCCAATTGATTAACTAACTGAGTTGCACCCGCACAAACACACAAGAAAGAACACAAATAAAAACTAATAAATTGTAATTGGCATATATTACCTGAGGCATTAAGGCATCCATCCCATTGAGAAAAATCAAGCATTGTTGTCCTAGGCAGATGCATAATTCAAAGTTGGCCTGAGAGATT